CGAAGTGTTTAAAGGGGTTCAAGGAGAAGATATCTGTTGCTTGTGCCGAGAGTGAAGAACAGAATCTGAGGAAAGAATCCAAGGATAAGGAGGGTCTAGAAGTGTACGGAATGTTGAAGGAAGGAATAGGGTTCAAGGACTACCTACATGGACCAATGGATGCAGGAACAAAGCTTAAGGTCAAATTCAGGACCGGGGACATAGGCCTTCGAGAACGTCGACGAAGACATAGGACGGTAGACGAGGAAGACGACGAGTTCAAATGTGATTGCGGCTTCGAATGCGAAGACCGTGTTCATGTAGTCGCGGAATGTCCGTTGTACAAGAAGGAGAGGGAAGTGTACGTGACTGAGCTGGGAAAAATAGATGGAACGTACAGGGAGATGTTTGAGGCATGGAATAGAGAGGAAAGGACGGTAGCTGTACTGGGGCATAGGAGGTGTGTTGAAAAGGCGGGAAGGGATATTGTTAGGATAGACAGCTAGGGAAGAAATTTTTGAGCCACCTTTGGCAAAGTAGAATGGAACGATTGGCCATCGGTGATCGGGCCTGTGGGAACAATGCTCCGTCCTCTCGAGGACGCGTGGTCGATGGTCCGCTAAGGCATGCAAAACATAAGAGTATGCCCCCCCCCTCGGTGTTTGCCATCGGGATTGGGTTTTCGTCGCTTGGCAATGGCGTTGCAAAACAAGCCAATTCACTTTGTGAACTCGGCAACCAGGTTACAGTTTTGTTTTTTACCTCTTTTTTTTTTGGCGGTAACCATAATGGTGGTCGAGTAGATCATGTTGTGCGGGGTCGAGAACCCTCACTTCGCGCAAGGGGCATGATCGCACCACGTTGTGTTAAAATGGTGAACCATCTTCGAGGCAGTTACACAGTGCTCACAACTGTCTCAGGAAGTGAAGCACCAGAAAATATATTAAGTCATACGCAGCTGTCATCCGTATGCAAGGAAGTAAGCAAAAGATGCCGAAAACCCTTAGCAGGATGCAGCGCAACCTTCATGCGACTCGCCGAATACCTCACGGCGCTTCGCGCTTGGCGATGTGAGGGCCTGGTCCGGTGAGAACCCGGCATGCTCCGTCCCGGTTTTGTAGGGATGCGAGGTCAATGGTTTAACGACTACGGCATGCACGACTATGAGTATGAGCACACCAGAGGGCGCCAAGCAACTCCTTCGAAAGAGGAAAAGCCAAGGGGTCTCTCCGTACCTGCTTCTTCCTGAAGCTGCCGCAACTCGTTGGGCAACATTCCACCGTCCACATCGCCAACGCCGGCCCTTCTTCTCCGCGGCGGTCTCTCCGCCGCACCCCTACCCGCCCAAGCGGCCGGTCCTCCCCTTCCACGAACAAATGATGACATGGAAGAGTGCCTTAGCTCGCCGCCCGCGCTGCCCCGACCGTCTGGATTGCGAGATCTCCGTTGGGGAGCGCCAATGACGTCATCGCTACCGCCACCGCTGCCACGTCGAGTAGTAGCGGGTTGTCGCCTGCTTGGCGCACTTCTTCTTCTCTCCGGTTGCCTGAGATCAGACAGCTCTTCCCACGATTCCTCGTCCTCTCCCTCCTCCTCCTCCTCCTCCTCGCTCTTTTCACGTAGTAGCGCAATGTAGCGGCGGCGGCGGCAGCAGTGAGGAGTCAAAGAGGCAAAGACAAGTGGAGATTGGCGCATGAGTGGAGAACAAAGAAGTAGACACGCCACGTACAGGCCGTCGCTCTTTTCGTTTGGCCGCAGCTTGCGTGGAGTAATGCATTTCGCGTGCAACGAAGTTCGCATCACGTCTCAAGGTGAAAAGGAGCAGAACGACCGCATCAGGTTGTCTCGGATCCTGTTGCTTATCCAACCAAAGGCTCTATGGGTACGTATACCCGGATAGCCGTGATTTGGGATCACCTCGCCTGAACCGTCAAATGCTCCTACGGGTGCGGAAAACCGGATAACCGTGAATTGGGCTCACCTCGCCTGAACCGTCGGCGACCAGAAATCCGTCCGAGATGTAGCCGTGAGGGCCAACCCGCCCGGCTGCGCCATCGTCCTGTTCGCTACTGCTAGTGCCGCTATCTTGGGTAGCAAGGGCGGCGGCCAGGTCTTCGTCCGACGAGCAATCCGCGGCCTGATCTCGCTCCTGCACCTGCGCGGGGAGAGTTCGTCAGTGGGGAAGGAAAAGGAAGACCACGAAACGGCGACGTCGGGAAGGGAGGATGGCACCGAGCACATGTCATGTGAACGAGACAGGGCTGCAAATCTGGGGCAGGGCTACATAATTGCAGAAAGAACAACGACGACGGTTCGTGAGAAATCAGTTGCTTGTCCAACTGGGTGCTACTTCAGCGGACGTGAAAACACGAGCCATGAAAACCCAACAAACACAACAGAATAAGGAAATGACCTACAGTGGACAGTTGCTGTTATAAAAATTCAAGGATAGGTCAACCCTATCTCCCGGTGCGTTGTGTGCGGTGTCGACATCTCTCTCCGTAATATAGTCGGGGCTTGTGAGTACCCAAAAACAACATGCAACTTCCGCGAGCTGGCTGTAGAACGAGTGTGTGAAGCAAAACAAGTTGACTGATACCTATTGAGTGTTCTCCATCCACCCACCCCCTACATGATCGCTCTCGGCTGTCGCGCACCTCAACTATCTCGCCGGCGGCAAGCCTGATGCCGGACTTGCTGCCGCCGCCGTTACGGATCGCGTTGAAGCGCTCCTTGCACAGGGGGCACGTGTTCGTCCTCTCCGACCAGATGCTGATGCACGCGAAGCAGTAGGCGTGGGCGCACGCGGGAGCGAGCACGCCGCACGCAGCCCGCTTCAGCAGGAAGCCCTGATCGTCCACAGTCTCCAGACAGATTCCTGAACAGAGAAAAAATGAACAGTTGTTACATTGTACGAGTGTAGGTGGATATTGCACAATCAGAAAGGGCCGTTGGGTGGGCGTGAGCACGGGCAGAGTTGTGGTAACGAGGTACACTTGTGCCGTGAGTGCCATGCGAATGTCTCGCCAATGCTGCTCTCCAGCTCACTACTGCAACCTGCTTGAGGGGCAAACGGCTCAATGTGTCCTATGGTCGAGAGGTGTGTAGGCTACTACAATGCCAGGTATGATAGAGAGAGCGTGTGTGTAGAGCCGTCAAGGGGAACATGGTTCGGGATAATTTTAAGGGCGAAAGGTTAGGGTTGGCTGCTCCTGGGGCCAGACTCCGGTGCTACGTACATCGTGTTCTCATGATGAGCGGCAAAAAAAGTCAACCACGCAGCCAGTACAATTCCTTAGACGTGTGCTGCGCCAAAGTATGTCAATGTGATGCCGTGTACGTAAAAGTATATGGATGGGCACATTCGGGGTTACCCGTCATAGTTCGTGGTATGTCTGGTGTGTGTCTATCGCTGCTGCTGCCTGCTAGCTCGTACGGCGCGTATGATTGCCTTCCATCAGTCTGCTGGGGTCTACGCATACACAACATCAGTTGCCGCACCTGTTCAATTTGCGAGGAAGCTTCCTACACCCTATTTGCAATTTGGAGTGTTAGCCGCACTCCCATGCAACACGAAAATAGGCAGCACTCCCTATACAGCCAAACGAACGAGAGGAGGACCCCCTGCTCTCACCACAAGTGGTGGCTGCCATGGTCTGTCGTCGGCTCGCCCTGATAGCAAGCGGCCGTTGATCCTTCGATAGGGGGGGCCGAGAGTCAGCTGCTGCGCCGTCAGGCGAAGGCGAAGGTGCCGCCGCCACGCCATCTCTGCGTCCGGCAGTCGGAAAAAACGACGACGTCTCCGCCATACCTTCGCTCGCTCTCTGTGCTTGTGTGTGTGTGTCTCTCTCTGCCTTTCTCCCTCCCCACACCCAGGAGCAAGCATTTGAGGAGTCAGAAACGGGTATACCCGGATAGATTATCACCATTTCAGGGTACACTTGGAAATCAAGACGACACACACCAATCTCCGACAGCATCCGCCGTAGATCGCGGCGAAACCAATAAACCGCTGTCTGTGTCCTGTGTGTCCTGTGCCTCGGAAACATGATGCACGAGGCAGGTTGGCAGGTCGTGCCCGTTTCCCTCTCTCTCTCTGCCCCCCTCTCTCTCTCTGTGCTTTTACTGATCAGTACCACACCGAAGTACTCGCGCGTCAAGCGAGTTCAACCCTCTGTTGAGAAGGGCCGGTATCCTATGGAGGCGGTGCCCATGAACGATGAACGTTGTGGCGTTGTGGTGGTATGTCTGGTACACGGATTGTGCGGCACACGTTTTTTATTGCGGGTTTTATGCTAGAGCGTTGGGCGCCGGGATTATACGACCATTTGATTCCTGGGTACAAAATTGACCTCTTCCGGGTACACCAGTAACCAATATCGGTCACACCAGAGGGTCCTAATTCCAGCGGAAGTTGTGCCTGATGGAGGTTTCTTGAGAAATGGGTACTGTACAATGGTTTTCGGCCAATCAGCCGACAGCCTGGGGGTGCAAGCGTGTTGATTTCTAACTGTACCCTAAAGTGATGATAAAGTACCCGGTATACCCGTTTCTGGATATTGGTCAAAATGTGCTGCAGCACCTGTAGATCCATCAACAGCGGTCTGCTGCAGCCGCACACTGCGCGTGTGTGTTTTCATTATTAGCATCGATCGCGCTAACCGGTTGACCAATTAAGGGTACCCGGACAACCTCCTGCTATGTGGCCTAATTTCGAAAACAAACGCAAGAGCGCCAGAAAATGCACTAGAGACAC